GTAAGTTATACAAATGTGCAATAGCAATTAAAACCCGGATAGAAGTTATCTTTGTTACCGGTGAATAAGTGTCAAGAAAGTCAAGTCCTTCTTTTTTACGATATCCTTTGACAACAAGTCAAGCTTTAAATTTATTTATTGTACCATAGGTTTTTAACATTCTTTTAAAAATATGTTTGCATCCAATTGGTTTAGTTCCCTTGAGAAAATCAACCAATTGACAAGTATTATTACTTATAATGGATTCTTCTCGCTATTTATAACTTCCTTCTAGAATGGAGGTTCTGGTCTAAACATAGCCTATTTAAATGTTAAAGACTCATTTTCAATCATGAATGACATAAAGGCTGGACCAAATGATTTTGCAATCATTGCTCTTAGACTCCTCATGTTTTAGATTCTTTATTTCTTTCAAAAGTATCATCACTTTTTGTTTTCCTAATATTTTAGAGAGAATTCAACATATCTGAATTCAATAATCATATTCACATGAATGTCACTTATTTCAAATTTTTGAACAATGAATCTATATGCATATCCGATAAAAATGCAATCAGCAATTTTAGGTCATAACTTGATCCTTTTAGAAAGTGGAATAGCAACTTTTGTTAAGCACTGCAACACTTTTAAATATTTGTAGAAAAACATTTTGCCTTCTACAATTCATAAGGTATTAAACCAGTTTTCGTATGAGAAACTCTATTTAGAATAAAGTTAGTAGTTAAAACTACTTTCAACAAGTACTGTGGTAGGCCAGAGCTAATAAGCATAGCATTAACCATATCTTTTAAAGTTCTATTTTTCCTCCCAACAACTCCATTTACCCGAGGAGTATATGGAGCAGTCATTTGATAAATAATATCAAACTTAGAACATAAGTCATTAAAATCTAATGAGTCATATTCACTGCCTCGATCGGATCTTAGGACCTTGATTATCTTGTCAAGTTGATTTTCAACTTCATTTATGTAATTGACAAAAACATCCAATGTTTCGTCATTACTACTTAACAAATATATAACAATATTTACTATGATCATTTATAAATCTGATAAAGTATTTATTTATTTTTTATTTTTTTTTTTACCACATCAAATTTGAACAAAATTCATATCACATATATTGCTATGTATTAGCCATAACGGTTCACTACATCTTTCAAATTAATTGAAATGTTTTTTAGCAAATTTTGATTCCATACAAATTTCACATTTATGTTCAATTTCTGATTCAAGTTTAGGTATAAGTTTTAAACCTACCAATTTCCTTAATGAAATACGATTAACATGTCATAATCTTTTATGACATAATAAGAAAGACTCGAGCAAGTAAACACAAGAATCAACTTTATTCATAACTTGTGGGTACAAATATGTAGACTTATTGTCAACTACAACAGCATTGGCCTTAAATAGGCCATCAATTAAATAACCCTTCCTAACATATGTGCCCCATTTAGTAAGTACAAATTTATCAAACTCAAACACATTTTTGAATCCCTTCTTATTGGGTATAGAATTTGAAATCAGATTCTTCCTATTTTCTGGGAGATGAATGACATTGTTCAACGTCAACTCTTTTCACATAGTCATTGAATTTTGCAAAGTTCAGTGATGACTTGTGTGATTTTTAAAGTTCAATGACCATGTGAAAACCTTTTTAAAAAGTTCACTGACCATTTGAGTTATTAACCCTAAAATAGCTTTTAAAATCTTTCCATAGTGGATGTAATTTCTCTATCATAGCAGGAATATGGAAATATTCACTTAATTACATGCCATCCGCCTTAATATCATGAAGAATTATTTGTATCTCTTGAACATGAATCATAAATGTCATTGAATCAATCATTTTGAAATCCAGAAATTTACCGGCGATGAATTTTTCATTTCGGCATCTTTCATCTTGTATTTTTTTTTTATCAAGAGATTCCTACAGCTCCTTAGCCATCTTGTATGAATAATATACATTGTATAATGTGTTATCCAATCTGTTGAGAATATAATTCCGACGTAGAAAATCAGCATGCTTCCATGCTTCAATAGCCAACTAGATATTTTTGTCAGTGGCATTTGCTTCTGTTTGTGTAGGATAATATTCACAAAATAATAAAAAAAATATTCACAAGATTCAGCATAGTTGGTAGCATCTTGTGTTGATACCGTTTAAAATCCACGCTGTTGAATTTCTCCGACTTTTTATGTTGGAACGTTGGTGGTTTGACAAACGAAATAGGCACATAAATTTGTTTAATCGCTTTACTAGTTTGATCATTTGAATTAGTAAAACAACAATCACATAATAAAATTACATAAAAAATATAAAAGAAAGAGATATATGTCTTAAAATTGTTGTAAAATTAATGACTACTTAGCAAAAGAAAGAAAAATAGAATGTATATTAAGCGAAGTATGTTGTAGGAAATCTCTTTAAGACATATTTCACCCTCTACACGGGTGCCAACATAATACTTGAATATTTGTCTCCCAAAATATAATGCTTAGGTACTGCATTATACCAATCTTGTCGGTCGAACCAAAGTTTAAATAATATTCTTCTTGAATAGAGTAGACACGAATTAAAATACTCTAACGAAATTTTATATGTGAAAATAATTCAAACAAAAATTTATTTCAGCAAAATAAAAGGAACAAAAATTTGTGAAGAGATGAGTGATCTAAAAATCTATTATGAAAAATGGAACTAGATGTCCCATTTATAGATTTCCAAGTGAGTTTTTGAATGGTTTCAATTTTTTTTTTACATAAATTACATATTTTCATAGTTATTCTGTAGATTACACCCTATTAAAAGGTTACAACTTTTTATCACACACTTTTTAAAATAGTCCCACTCATTCAAAATAGCATGTCTCTTTGTATGCGTATTTTTTGATTGAAGATATTATTTGCTCTTTTTTAAAATTGATCAAATTAAGGTTGGGTGTTGGACTTTTGATCATTTAATGGATTTTTGGACGTAATCGTCCAATAGTCCTTCTACCGCACAAGTTTGAAAGGTTTGGTACTAGCATTGCTATAAATCAAAGGTTTGTGTAAAACCTGGAATAATTTGAATGGTTTGAGACTGTGACTGCAATTATCCCTTTTTTATTATTTAGTTTTTTCTTGACAATTTTCCATATTGTATGCGTAATTATGAATTATCATGCTTCGTGAAAATTCTACCTTGTGCGTATGTAAGTCGTCAAATATTTCATCTTGTACATTTAGCCCCATTTTCGACTCCCTTATGAATAAAATTATTTATTTTTCATACTCATTTTTAATTATGCATTCACATAATAAAATATTTTGCACATAAATTCAGTTTTTTTCCATTTTTTTACCACACATTTTTCAAAAAATCACTGTCCAAAACATCATTTTTACACAATGACCATCAAATAGGGGCTTGAAAGACTGTGGCACCATTCTCATACGATAAGTTTCAAAGGTAAGTTCAATCCAATTACTAGTATACCTTTGAAACCTATAAGTTTATTACTTTTACGATTATCAATAGTAAGTCCCCATTTGATAGAGATTAAAATTAGATTTTTAGTAAAGTTGTGAGTCTTATGAAATGTGTAGTTAAAATTAATTGCTGTCTTTGACTTCGATTTTAATGAAAAGTTTTAACTGTACAAAACATGGGCTAAGAATGGAAATATATTTTTAGTCTTAGTCTCAAGTACATGAGCATAGAAGAATCCAATTGCATCTCCAAAGAGGAAAATGAGCCACACAAATAAAGGATATTGCACTTGTCCAAGTACATAACACTAAGTTGTTCACCTTAGATACAGTATACAATTATGATTTTGTACGTGAACCCATTGATCTCTACACAACGTAATTACTTGGGAGGGAGCCCGTTTTGAAATGTCGACTGGCCCAAAAGGTCTCTGAATATACTATAATTTTGCTCCAAATGCAACATAAACTTTCAACAGAAAGTGATGAACCTTTCCATTTGGTTATCTTGTTATTTAATTAAAAACATCTAATGCGATGATTTGTGATGTACAATTTGTATTATGTCAGACAATTTTAACCATCTTTTTTTTTTTTTTTTTAAATGTGTGTCTTCCATGCAGATTCATTTTATTTGTGATCTTCATCCATCAAAAATAACACATTATCAAGCAACATAGATATATTCAAGTATTGTTGAATTTTTAAAAATCAAAATACATATGCAAGCTCAAAAAAGAAAAGAAAATTAAAGACGCAGAAAGGGTAAAACAGAAAAAGTCAGCAGCATGACTGAGTCTTACAAGATCCCCAAAGCAAGTAACAACCTTTATGATTTTCTTCCAATATTTGAGAAATGGAAAACCAAAATGAATATTGAGCATTACTGTTTTAACTGAAAATCTGACTTCAGAACTCAATATAAGAATAGCATGACTGGTGCTTGGACAGTACATGCAAAATTGTCCTAGCTGCTTCTCCCTTTGAATTCTTCATGGCTAAATCATATTGCTTGCACCAGTCACCACCAGCGATTGCTGAAATGCTGCTACTTCTTATATCAGCATTTTGCTTGCTCATGGCAGGTATGTTTATCTTCTCTTCACTTTTCTCTCTGTGTGCGTGTTATCTTGGTTACTTCATTCACAGTTGTGGCCCGTAAAACCTTTTTAGATCTTATAACATAAATTCTAATAAGATGGAGGTAGATATCCCGATAGAAATAAACAAAACACAGCAATAACAAAGAATTCATATAAACGACTTTAAATTTGTTGAGAACAAATAAGACTAATCATTTTCAAGCTAATGCAGATGCCAGCATTGGAGTTTGTTATGGAACCCTCGGAGACAATTTGCCATCTGCACCACAAGTTATTGCTCTGTGCAATAAGTATAACATTAACAGACTCCGACTCTACAATCCAAACCAAGCAATTCTCAAAGCCCTCAAGGGAAACCTCAGCATATCAGTCATTGTAGGCGTTCCAAATGAAGAACTCCCAGGAATTGCAAGAAATCCTTCGACTGCAAAATCATGGGTCCGAAATAATATACTCAATTATGCTAATGTGAATTTCAGGTACATAGCAGTTGGAAATGAAATCAGTCCCAGTTCGAATTTGGCACCATATGTAGTCCCCTCAATGGAAAACATTCACAGTGCCATTTCCGCTGCCAGGCTTGGGTACAGAATCAAAGTTTCCACGTCCTTAAGCATGGAAATTCTTGCACGATCGTATCCTCCATCAACAAGCGTGTTCAAGTCTGAAATTCTGTCCTCATTTATCATCCCCATTGTTAACTTTCTTGTGAAAAATCAGAGCCCGTTGCTTCTGAGTGTGTACCCGTATTTTGCTTTCAGCAGTAACACGAAGGACATTAGCCTGGCTTATGCACTTTTTACATCTCCTTCGACTGTGGTCAAAGATGGGAATTACGAGTACCAAAACCTGTTTGATGCTATGGTGGATGCAACGCACGCAGCATTGGAGAAGACTGGAGGGACTAATGTAGAAATTGTTGTTTCGGAAAGTGGATGGCCTTCTGCTGGTGGAACAGCAACTACTCTTGAGAATGCCCGGATTTATAACTCCAATTTGATTAAACATGTCGAGAAAGGAACCCCAAGAAGGCCTGGAAAGCCTGTAGAAACTTACGTTTTTGACCTGATTGATGAGAATCAGAAAAGCCCGGAACTTGAGAAGCATTGGGGACTCTTTCTTCCTAATCAACAACCTAAATATCCCATGACATTTGATAAAAACACAATGAACGACTCGATAATTTCATAATATATCGTTCTTAGTAATTATTAACTTGAATTCGTGTAATGGATCGTTTTCACACATAACAAAGCTTTATCATTTATACATCAAGAATTGATACAATATACAATTTCAAGCTGTTTTGTGCGGTTTTTCTTTTATTTATGATGACAAATGTACATACTCCCCACTCCCTATCTGAAGTTTAAATGGACTTATATATATCATGTTGTGTTTCGATGGAATACAAAGACGAAAGGACATCAAGTGATCAAGAGCTCAAGAGGACTTCACTGTGTACTTTGCCATCTTCCATTCTAATCCATGACTTGAGAGAGAATGGCTGCTGATTAATCTCTAGAACCCTAGCTCCTCTAGACCAGTTTCCATACCCACCATAACCAGTATGCCTAGCAAAGCACAGCCACAGCTTCTTATATGGGCAGCACCAATCTAATCCATGGTTGTGGCCTACAAAAACTGCCTGCCACCATGTACAAACAATGTAATTCAATACAGTCCATTTCCAATACAAAAACTGCCTACCACCATCTCAATCCTCCTGTACAAAGCATTGAATGCATATGGGTAACTACCATTCAAACTTATGCACATATGGGTAACTATCATGGCAACTATACAAGCATATATGGGTCTATCTTGTGTGGGCAGAAAATCTTTGCAAAAGTGGAGCAGAAAAATGTTAAAGAAACAAGACATAAGAAAATTTTCAAACATAGTAGGGGATAAAAGGAACAGAACTGTTAGATTTGCATGAGGAGTAAGAAAAGCATATATAGTGAGGCAAGTCTTGGAAGCATTCAATAACTATGGCACTCGAAGGCCTTACCTTAATCGAAGGTCTTTCTTCAAGAACTTTCATGATGCCCATTTCAGCTTCTTGAGTCGCAACATCCTCCATGAAAATTGAACCTATGCAATGGTTATGTGCAACGAAACTAGGAGCCACCTTCTTGTATGCTTTACTTGGAATGTGCCAAAATATTATTTCAGGCACCCTAGAAAAGATTCTGCGTTAAAATTCTGAAGTATTGGAGAAGGGAAAAGTAAAACACTTGAAGGTGCCATATTTACCTTCTTATTTAAAACAATTTCAAACGGGCATGAAGAAGATGTCGAATGGAACTTACAGTCTTACACCTAATTCTATATATTTTGTCTAGGTCAATAAAATGCAGCCATGTCTATGATAGTGTAGAAATTAAGATTCAATCTTCCAGTACCTTGCATCAGGATTGACCTCTGAATATTTTTGCTGGAACCACTTTACTTGAGCACTTGATATAACCTCTGGGTATGACCCACCACCAGAGTCAAAGAAGTACATATATGCTACAGCTGCTTCCGAATCACTTGACGATGAAAGTTTAAGAACATAATTAGAAACACTAGGCCATAGATTTTGGGGACCATTCACTGAATGTGATAATGTGTTGTGCTCAGTTTCACTTTTCATCAACTCCAAACGCGTTGTCCCTCTGAAGCTGCAATCTTCACCTCCTGACATAAAAAATTCTGATAGTGAAGCTATCAATAATGATACGATTTCATACATTTTTCTATCGTTTAACATTAACATTATCAATCATGTTCTACTTTCACATTTTAAATAGTCAAATCAAAATGTTGATCTCATCTTTGCAAGATGAGTTAAAGAAAATAATGGACCTTTCAACTCACCTGCATCCGAGGTAGTTGGAGCAGGACAATGAAGTTGAGGAATTCCAGTAGCTGAAAACCACTCCATAGGCCACTCAAAAGGTGCATCATCATGGTTCCCAAACACACTGGCCCAGGGTATTCCCTTGGCTCTTGTTGGTGACACTGCCTGATCCCAGTATAAACTTGCATTCTTTATCATTATATTGTTGGCCGTGATGACATCCCCGAGATAAATTACAAAGTCTGTCATACAATTTTAAGTTCATTGCAGAGATCTATATCAAATGCATTACAAAATCTGATTACAGTGTAAAGTATTGCTCGTCTAAGACTTCTTCAAAGCTATTTTACTTCAGTCAATTCAAAAGTTCCCATATTTTACTTCTGCCTTTTACCAGTAAAATAATTTATCGTTCTATAAACATTCTCTAAATCAATACACAAACTTGACGTAACAGTTGGACACTGTCATAGAACTTGGGAGAGCCATACCTCAAAAGCTAGCAGTTGAGATTAGAGAGTCTAAATCTATATAAACACTGCGAAGGAAGTCCATACTTCCGATGTGGGATTCAAACTCCCATAAGTTCCATTGGAACCATGACAAACCACCACGCTTCCGACCCCAGTGCACATGGGGGGCAAGCGCCCATACACCAACCAGGGTCTGGAGACGTGATGTAAGCTCTGATACCAATAGTCATACTTCAAAAGCTAGCCGTTGAGTATGAAGAGCCCAAGCATATATAAACCACATAAAGTAAGCTCATACTTTCGATGTGATATTCAAACCCCCATAAGTTCCATTGGAACCATGACAGACACCTAATACAATTTCTTTGCTGTAAATCACACGGACCTGGGTCCTCTTTGTCTAGTACAGTAGACATTACTTTGACAGAATTCATGTCCTGAATCGGGCCCCAATTCATCCATGCGTCCTCACCGAAGTGGAGGTCGGCGAAGAGTGCAATCTTGAAGGGTGAACCCTGCCGCATCGGAATATTATTTTCCGGCGTGGTGGTTTCACTGCCTTGGGCGAAGGTCTGTGCATTTCTACGGATTTTGAGTTGTACGCCGGAGACCACAAATAGACAAATGACAGTCCATTGGAGGAGTCTTAACGGGCTGTTGGATGAATTCGGCATAGGATTATCGGAGAAATTAACGAGGGAAAGCCGTTGAGATCGAAGGAATCAATGATTGTTAATGATTGGGCATTTATAGTAATTTGGATTAGAGAATATTGTGTCACTGTCCCTCAACCTATGCTTAATTGAGTAATTAATTAATCTCCAACAACTCTTAAAAATGAGCACATTCATTTGATTGTAATATAATGACATGTTAAAGATTAAATCCCTGTTTAATTTAGCATATTTTTAGTAAATTTTAATAAAAATTGATAAAATTCGTGGGTTCATAAAATGTATGGTTAAAATTATTTGTTAATTTTGACTTAAATGTTTTTTAATTTTTTCCATCTAAACCAAATAGAGACTAATAAGTCTTTAAAATTAAATATCAACTTGCTATTATGTCGGGGACATTGTTGCAAATTTCATAAAGAATTGTTTAGTGAAAAAAAAAGTTATATTAAATATTGGTATGGGAATAGATCGTCCATCTGCCAAAGTATCAAGGAATAAACTATCGAAGATGCTAACCAATCGTTTGACACCCATTTTTTGAAGATAAAAATTTTTAGAATAGTGATTGATGGGAGATTGTGCAGTGGAAAAGTTTTAAATTTGTGTTTAATATTATTTTATTGGAAGAATGTGTAGTTGAAATGAAGTAAGAGAAAAAAATAAGAATGAGTGCCAAACATTGGTATTTTGGACACGTCCTCACTTTTCTAATTAAAATTTGCAATTTTCCAAGGTTTTTGGAGCTTTGAACAATTCAAATTTCTAACTAGACGATATTCGAATTCAACATAATATTTAAGAGTACACTTTGTTGTATATTTGATTCGTTGCCTTCAAAACTGTTGACGCATTGATTCTTGTGCTTGTGTTTGACACCCATTTTGGAGAAAAAATGGATTCTAGAATAGTGATTGATATAAGAATGTGTACTTGAAAAGTAATGAAAGGTTTTGGATTTACGTGTGATATTATTATATTTAGAGAATGTGTGGTTGAAATGAAGTAAGAGAAAAAAATGAGAATGAGAATTGTTAAATTAAAGATTTCACGTTAATATAATAACACTAGTTAAATTCAAAGCGTATTAAGTAAAATTTGGTCTCTTTTGCTAACAAATGTTTCATTATCTTTATGAAAGTGGAAAATCAAATTGGAACAAATTGTTTTGGTTCTTATTTTTCTTGGAATTTAGAGCTCAAATATATACACGAGATTGCATTGAATTACAATTGTTTTAGAATGTGAAAGAAAAAAGAAAATTTTTAGGAGAGTTTGTCAACTTCTAATTCGAAATAACTTAAATTTTATTCTAAATCAAAACTAGCTTGTTCGTTCAAATCGAACCAATTCAATAAATCCTAAGGATTTTGATGAATCCTTGTAAATACCATCTTATTTGACGAATGTAGCTAAGTTGTGCCGTAACAAGATCTTAAGTTCAAGAGCATGTGTTGGTAAACTCTAATTATTAAGGGTCTGTTTGGGCCAGATTTTAATCTGATTTTAATTTAAGTCAAAGTCAAACAATCAATATTAAACACATCTTTTATGGGTCCCACATCTTTTCAACCACAAATTTCAAAAACTTCTATCACAATCCATTTAAAATCTGATTTTAATCTACACCGAACACCTTCTAAATGTGTGTTTGGTTTATTGTTTTCAAGCTGTTTTCAAATTTTAAGTTTTGCAAAATATCTAAAATTTGTTTGGTCTCGTATTTTTTAAAATGTATTTTCAAAAATAATGCTAAATTTATAATACAAAACTCAAAATACATTTGTGACATTTTGAGTGTTTTCAATGAATTTTGAAAACATTCAAAACGTGAAAAATATGCGTTTTAAGTAAAAATTTCAAAATTAAAAATTTCAAATAACAAAAATACAAAATTCTACAATTAAAAAAAAACTGAAAAAATTAAATAAATAAATAATTGTTTAAATTCAAAAAAAAAAATTTAAAAATTAAAAATTAAAAATTGTTTAAATTAAAAAAATAAAAAAATAAATTCTAAAAAATAAAAAATAAGATTCTAAAAATAAAAAATAAAATTTCTGAAAACATAATTTATAAAAAAATTCTAGTAAAATAAAAATAAAAATAGTTCAAGTTGTCCACATTATTAATTTTTATTTTTATTTCCTATATTTTACCAAGTCAATTTAGAATTTATTTTTATTTTACTTTTGTACCAAAAAAGGAAAAAAGAAAAAATAATCAATTTAAAATGTATATATTACTTGATAATATATTAATATAAAATTTTCTAATTCGATGAATAATAAAACTTTTTTAAATAAAATATTATAAAATAAGTTTTCAAAATTTAAAAACAAACATGTTTTCCAGTTTTTTTTTTTTTTTAAGAAATCATTTTAAAATTATAAACTAAATACATTTTTAGCAATCTTAAACAAACCTTCAAAATAGGAAATTGACAACTGAAATATAGATCAAACGGCCCTAATTTGTGCACAATTGTGAATGCTTAGTTTATAGTACATCCCCTTTCAATTTTAAACTCAAAAAATACTTATCCCCTTGAATAGAACAAGCAAAATTAATTTTATACTTTTTCTTCGATGTGATTTAAGTTGTCATCCCATGATTTTATGATTGTTTTCCTTTAAACCAAAAATGAGGAAGAAAAAAAAGAAGAGATACTTGCAAGACTTTTGGTAGGATACTGCGACTATACTTATATATGATGACACCATCAGTCACATTTCAGTAACAAAGACCATATTCCCAATTGTTAGCCTTGTTGTGCCACGTGTAGGGGGTGAATATGTGATTATGCGAAATTAAAACTTAATAATCAACTAGCAACAAATTATTAATCATCTCTGGATGGTTAATCAATCAAGTCAATTTTTATAAGTTGAATTGTCGCAGTTATATGAAAGGAATAAATAAACACCACGAATGATCACGAAGAAATCCCAATTGATAAAAATTTTGGGTACTTTGCCAGTCAACAATCCATTATAAATGAATTATAAATTTATAGTCTGCCAGATACGACTACCACTAGATTTTTTGATCTCCTGACTACAATTCTCATAACCCTCCTAGATTTCGTGCTCCTGCACCAACTCCCAGGTGCAGTTTTGAAAGCCCTCCTGAATCGCGTGCACCTGCACCAACTCCCGACTTTATGAATTCATTTATCTCCTATAAATTAACGATGAACTCTGCGTTCTCCAACAACGGAACTACAGTCACATTCCCTTGATCTTCAGCACTCTGACAGATATGTAGGAAGTAGCAGTTTGGTATTTGAATTGTAGGTTTGATGATTTCAATGCCTTGGACACAACAAACAATGAAGGTTGACAGCTATGAATGGAGAGGATATGAAGCAATCAATGTTTTCGCAATGTTCAACCTTAAGAAAAAACGTTCTGAGGCGTTCTAGTATTTATACTGTAGGTTTAAGAACAAGTGAGTCGGATAAAAAGTCTTAAAACGCGAATTAAAATTTTTCAGATAACCCTATTGCTCGACTAAAAGTTGGGCGATAGGCCAGCGACAGTGTTTCGATGGAGCGAAGGCCAAGCAATAGGCTAGCGACAATGTTTCTATTTCTGTCGCTCGAGCAAAGTCATGGCGACGGTCTTGCGAAATTGACAACTTTCTATAGAAGATTTATCAGGAATTTTTGCACTATTGTGGCACCACTCACAGAATGTTTGAAGAAGTGGAGATTCAGTCAGGGAGAGGAGCAAGATAAGAGTTTCGCTTTCATCAAGGAAAATTTATACACAACTCCAATATTAACCTTGCCAAGTTTCGAGAAGTTCTTTGAGGTAGAGTGTGATGCTAGTGGTGTGGGTGTGTTGGGTTGTCCTTTCTTAAGAGAAGAGACTCGTGACTTTCTTTTCAAAAAATTTGAGTGATGCTTGGTAGAATTGGAATACTTATGAGCAGGAATTCTATGCAGTGATGAGGGCTTTGAAGCAATGCGAACATTACCTCATACAAAATGAGTTTGTGTTGTTCATTGATCACCAAACCCTGAAGTTTATTCATAGCAAAAAATATATCAGCGAAATGCATGCTCCGTGAGTGACTTTCCTCCAGAAATTTTCTTTTGTGATTAAACATAAATCTGTTTGAATAGAGTTGCTAGCGGGAGAATCTCGTTGCTAGTCACACTGACACGAGAAATTATTGGATTTGAGTACCTGTATGCAGATGATCCTCACTTTAAGGAGACTTGGAGCAAGTGTGAATCGTTAAGCAGTGACAGATAAATTCAAGGGCAATTAGCTTTGCATTCCCATTTCATCTCTGCATGAAAATTTGATTCGAGATTTACATGGTGGAGGTCTAAGTAGACATTTGGGGCTTGACAACACAATAGCCAATGTGGAAGCTAGGTGTTATTAGCCACATTTGAAGCGAGATGTTAGAGTTATAGCCAGAAAATATTATACATGTCAGGTGTCAAAGGGTCAAGTGTAGAATACCGGGTTGTACATGCCCCTTCTTGTCCTTCAGGGCATATGGCAGGATCTTGCTATAGATTTCGTTATGAGATTGCCTCGTACTCAACGGGGCGTAGATTCTGTTTTTGTGGTGGTTGACAGGTTCTCCAAGATGGTTTACTTTATAGCTTGTCAAAAGACCTTAAATGCATCAAATATTGCCAAAATATTTTTCAGGGAGGTTGTTCGATTACATGGAATTCCCAAGTCTATCATATCAGATCGAGATACAAAGTTTGTGGGATACTTTTAGATTACATTGTGGAAGTTGTTTGGGACGAGTTTGAATTGAAGTAGCACTGTCTGTCCCCAGACTAATGGACAGACCGAAGTCACTAACTGTACCCTTGGAAATATGGTTTGAAGTGTTTGTCAAGATAAGCCTAAATAGTGGGATTATGCACTGCCTCAAGTTGAGTTTGCATACAACAGCGCAATTCATAGTGCTACATGCATGTCCCCATTTGCTATTGTGCATATCCCTTATCATGTGGATTTGGTGAATTTACTTAGGGACAATAGCAAGAGTGTGGCTGCTGAACATTTGGCAGAAGAGGTGCTAGTAGTCCTTGATAAAGTAAAACAGAAATTGGAGAAGACTAATTGCAAAGTATAAGGCAGTGTCAGATTTACATCGACGGGGCAAACAATTTTAGGAAGAAGATTCGGTGATGGTGTTTTTTAGAAAGGAGAGATTTCCCTTTGGTATTTACAACAAGCCGAAACCAAGAAAGTATGGGCCTTTTAAAGTGCTTAAGCAGATTAACAACAATGCCTACATTATTGATTTACCAGCTTCTATAGGTATTTCTCGAACGTTCAATGTGGCAAATATTTATGAGTTCCATAAAGGTGATGAATATTTATACCCAGATCATAACTCGGGGTCGAGTTTTTCAAAGGTGGAAGGAACTGATGTAGGACATATTGTTGAATGGATGGAAGAAGAGTTGGACAAAATGGGAAAAAAAGTAATAGTGCAGAGAGTATCCGAATTTATAATACAATTTCGGAAAGAGGATGACGATATGAGTCGCGATTCCATGACATACGATGGATTTCGGCCATTCGAGTTTGTTTAGGACTTGTTATCTTGAATTCTCCGAGTTGGCCATGATTTATTTCGTGTTGGATTTGGATAATCATGTAATTTGCCTGTGTCTTTCTGTTTCCGAGTTGGTGATTTATGGTCTTTTCTGATGTTGACGTTCTCATAGTATTTTGTAGTCATTCAATTTTTGTATTTTTCATCATTCTGCTTCGTGACTATAATTCTCTCCGTGTATTTTCCTTTAGTAGAAAATGATCTTGTAAACTTATTTATGCAGGTTGTTGGCAGCCTGCAGTACCTTAATGGGAGAAAGAATTCTGCAAAGTGGTCGGTTCGCTAGATTGGGATATGTTTCTACGCAAGAAGAAGTTTGTTTACCTATACAATAATGTGATCAACTGGGATGACTGAAGATAAAGAGGCATTTCAAAATGCCAAGACACGATTCTGGTCAGAGAAACATGGCGTTCCATGTGAAATACCATTGCCGGATTCTGATCTTTACGTTGACGAAATACATTGGGATTTGGAAAATGATATTAAATTGCCACCTGACCTTGATGTTGATCCTGTGGTTCGTTGATTCGGACGAAAACCATGATCCAATTGTCGTTTTTGGAGATTCATTCTTTGTTAACCAAAAATTTTATCCCAGTAGCCAGGGTGACTATGAAGAGAATATGATAATACCGTCTCATTCCATTTCTGCAAATCATGTGGATCCATGGGACCATAACTGGGGCAATACATTTCCTAATGCAGCTGCAATTGGATGGACAGGATTTTGTAATAATGAATGGAACATCATCGCTGGAAGTGGTCACGCTGGGTATGCATCATGGATAGGTGGTTGGAATTACTCGCATAACCCTCACAATTTTGGAGTCGAACCTGCAAATGTAACTGAAGGGAGAACCAATGGAGTGCAAGGATATGGTACCTGAACACTGCTGTGCAAGTCAACACGTTTAACTACATCTGGTGGAACAACGATGGACAACAGAGAGCAACATATGTGGGAGAAACCTTGAATGCTGATAAAATGCAGACTTTAGGAGGATAGACCGGTCACTCGACAGGCTGCACTAGCAGTTGGAAAAATGTGAGATTAGGGAGATTACTTTCTTTCTATCTTCTTTTGTATATATAAGTGGGGTATCAAACTTGGCCGTCTGGTGCATATTTGGAGTGTCTGTTGATGGATTTCTCTAAAATTTTGAATATAGTCTTCTGATTTTTGGGGAGGTATTATTTATGAGTTGACAAGTTATTGTTCAATTATTAATGCTCTTTACATTACTCTGTACTGAAAGTGAGTATTCTACAATTCAGGTATATTTTTCTTTTCTCCATGTATTTGATTTGGTTGCTGAAATATTGGTATTAAATCAGAATCGGATACTTTCAGAAGATGGCCAACTGCCTAAAAAACGAAAGAATTAGTATTAAATGAATAAGCACAACTGCAAAACTATTCGTCTAGAGTCACGTAATTATTTGTTTATGTGATTATTGTCACACTATCCAATATTTAAAATATGTTAAAAGATTATGTAGCATGTTAACGAGTTATCTATATTCATGTTTATATTAATAACATATGCACTTCTTTTACCGATATTGATACTACAAAGAAAAATGAAAGTCAATACAAAAAAAAAATGCAAGTATAGTACAAATCTTTGACAAAATCTACTATCATTCTGAATGCACAACATCAACTCAACTCCACGCCACTTCTATTTGTGTTTCCATTAACAAAAACTCTTTCCTCAGTTAATGTTAAGCTACTTCTAGAGTAGACGAGTTTATCAGACAACAGCCTTGCACGCTAACACATCAGTAACTTTTATCCAACATCGACACTGATACTAGATCCTTCATTTGTACCAACCCGTGAGAATCCACCGTAGAAAAAAACAGAAGCCGCAACAAATTGCCTGTGACACAAGTAATAATTCACGTATTTTCAATCAGAGTTTTTATTTGGAAGTAACATATAATCGATATTCAGATCAAAGCATATGCCTGAAGAAAGATACTTCAACCATGTATATCAAGTCTGAGTATGTTATGCGAAGCTTAAAAAGTGTACTTAAAAGTAAATTAGTACTAAAATACATTAAAAAAAATATTAAAAAAATTATGTTAGTAAGTAAATTACTTATTTTGATTGTAATCTTCTTGCTTGAAAGTGTTTGGTTGTAAAAAGTTACTTCAATTCTTTCTTTTTTTAAGCTTAGCCAAACATGATATCAATAAACACTTCCAAAAGAATCATGATGAATGTTTTGAGATCTCCAAGAGTAAAAAAATAAAATAAAATTGAAGCAACAGATTAGCGCCTTGAGGATAATAATAAGCATGTTACCTGGAAAATTAACAATAGAATGCAAAGTGTTTTCTCTGACTTCCGGCCAAATTGTCTTAAAAATAAGTTTACAAGAGTCCCATCATTTGTCCCTGTAAGTAGGCCAGTCTGAGGATCGAACCTGATAGTTTGAAGACAAACATATTATTATACAAGGATATTATTTCTGAACATAAGGTAACCAGGAAAGCACTAATCAATGTACCTAGGAAGTCGATGCCGTGGACAAGGTATGATACCAGCAAGCTGAAAGAATGAAGAAAAACCATTAATTCTATGTCTACGTTGTTTGTTTAAATGTGTTTGCATGTGTGCCTGAGAGTTTGTGTGTGAGAGTGTGTGAAAGCAAACACACTAGAGTGGGAGAGAGATACCTGAGGAAGTGAGAGCAAGAAGTTCAAAATTTGAGGAAGAAAGAATATCATAAGTGTCTCACTGAAAAATTACAAAAATAGAACAAAATGAATAAGATCAGGGCTTATTTTAATGCATAACCATTAAAAGAATGTAAAGATAGAAGAATGTTTATCTTGTCGCCATCCAACCAGGATTAAATTGGGGATTTATGCAATAAAATCAATCATATTACAGACAAGTCACTGAAAAAAAAGTTCAACAATATATCCAAAACATATCTCATGGCTGAGAATGAGCTTCTAATCAATGGGGGTTTAATTTAATGAGTTTGTAATTGAGTCAATCAGAGGGTTTAACAGCAAAACAACAAAGGTTCTGGGCTCAGTATGAAAGAGAAAGACCAATCAACATGTATCATTCTTTTTCTCATTTTGGGAATTTCCACGTAGCATCTAATCATCTAAAAAGACAACAAATTCTAGACAAACAACTAGAGCGAGTAAAATAGATATATTTCTCATCTCTTCAATCCATAACCAGGAAAAAAACGAGATCTAAGGTTTGCATGGTCAAGATGCTGTGATGTTGATTGCCAATGACAATCAAAATAATCAAACTAAGGAGCAAATGCTTCACTTTTAGTTCAAAGTAGCTTAAGTCTATATTTAGCTCCTGTTTGGTAGAGATTAAAATCAGATTTTTATTAGATTTTGATCAAAGTTGATGAAATATGTGGTTGAAAAGTTGTGGGTCCCGTAAAATGTGTGGTTAAAATTAATTTTTTACTTTGACTTGAGATTTTAATTGAATTTTAATCCAAACCAAACAAGGGCTTAATGTGATTTAGACAACTAACAAGCATAAAATCACTCCAGCATGATTTCAATCAAATTTACTAAAAGTAATGTCTCAATCATTCGCTTGCATAGTATGTCCTATCATCAAATTTTGCAAGTTGATATATGCCTACCATTTGTTAAACATATTCAGTACGAATATGTAATTTAAATTTTCTATTGATGCCAAGCAACAATGGACTGGGAACTGAAGAAACACACCTATAATGGCCTAAAATCCCGACTACTGCCATAGTCATTCCCGCAAAGTATGTGTACGTGTCACCAACAAAAACAGATGAAGGATACCTATATAAAAAACACGAACAGAGATATAACTGTTAGCATGCAGTGAGAGTTCTTGCACATGTTAAAAAGAATCACAATATGATTACCAATTGTAAGAAAGTAAAGCTAAAGAAGTGGCAAGCAAGGGTTGAACAAGGTAAATGGAGAATGCATGTGCTTGTTTGTATTCAGGATCATTTGATGCCCCAATTTGCATGACATTATGGATCAAAATCTGCAGTTATAATTATGTCATATTTAGTAAGTGAATAAAGAAGATTCATATCGATGTTTAGATGATTTCTAGCTTACAGCGCAAGCAATAATAACTGTCTGCCCAACTTCAAGGCCATTGATGCCAGCATGAATATTGATTGAATTTGTGCAAAACACAGCCAAGAGTCCCATATAGAGTTTATATATCCATCCTGTTCATATGAAAACATGTTACTTAGGGAACTGGAACATACACAAAAATTTGGGAAAAATTTAAAAGAAATATAGAGAGACAAGTTCTTCTTGACGAATAATTTATTTGTAAGACAATAAAATACCTAAATCTAAAATGTCTAATCCAATGTATGGAACAAGAGGCTTTGGAATACTGATAGTTGTATGCCCAGCATAGGCCATTAACAATGGAAGAGCTGCTATAGATGGCAACACTAGTTTCCTGTCTTCAAAGTTACATACAAGTAATTAATTATCAATCGCATAAGTAATTCAGAAAACAAAACAGAAGAAACAGGGGACTTCTATATTAATAAAACTCACACTCTCCAAGGCACATCAAGGACATCATCAACAAATCCAAGCAGAATCATGAAGCAGATTGATGCTAGTGCAGCATTGTATTCAACTAACCACTTCTCAACAAAAAAGTTAAAAGAGTTAGACCTTTGACTACAAGAAGATCGGAAAGCTAAAAAATAAAATGGAAAATCAAAGGTGAACAGAATTTTGTAACAGAAAAAAAAAGGCGAAAGAGAACAAACAAAGAGAGGAGAATTTTTTTTTTTTGAAAGGTAACAAAGAGAGAAGAATAACACAATAGATTGTGAAAGCTGATAGCATGTACATAAATGATATTCAAAACCATCTACAATATTATTCATTAAATTCCCTTTGCCATTCTTCACTAACATGTATATTCCCAAATTTCATAAAATTTCTTTTCTATTTGGTCAATTAGCACAGGGAATTCCACAGTGTCGTGACTCGCCAATTGAAGAACTGTAACCCCATCAAACTGTATCATGAGTCGATTCTTAATTACCAATGAAAAATATCATTCTAAATGTTGCCCCATCACTTTTGCTTCTCTATCAAATCCTAACATAATGTTCTGGAGCATTCCCTCACAGCTTTGCTTCCATTGATAATGATATTCCTTAGAAGAAATTAATATATTTAAAGAAGGAAAATCCACAATGTCAAAACTTGGCATGGTTTCTGGTTCAGTATGACAAACAATTGCCACAAGCACCAATAACAAGTAACTACAATTACCAAATCATGCAATTATACAGTAAATCATGGGTACTGCCTTAACATTATAGTTCCTTTTGGATTCTGTAATGTTCTAAGAGAATATACACACATTTCTCCCTACAGGAGTTTCTTCACACTTTAAAAACTATTCAACTAATACCTCGAGAAGCTCCAAGAAGTGCTCTTACATTTTAAATTGGTCTTTGTAACAAGTCAGCAGGCCCCCATTCATTCTCTGTGAAACATTTTATTGTTTGTAGGTGATAGGAAGACATGTGTGAAAATTTATTAAACCGGTTTACCATAAAAAACATTTGAAACAATAAAATTCATGCATTCATTGACTATTAAGCAAACAATAGGAGGCAGGGGACATTCTTGATGCAATAATGCTGTAGAAGTTTAAGTAGTAAGTATTTATCATGCTCAAAAATTAAACTATTACAAAAGATGCAACAAGGCAAATGTACTTACGTTTGAATCTGCTGTGAAGTTAAAATATTGAAACAATATTGCCACGACTAGAAATACTGTCCCTACAACAATGCCTAATGATTCAGGCCTGCATAACATGTATTAATACCAAGGTTAATCAAAACCT